GGAATGCCCAGAGTTAATGTCATAAATTCGGGAGTGATATAATCCGCACATCTGAGATTTAACCCCATCTCCAACTCAGATTTGATGCACAAGAGAAGACAACGCCTGCTAGATGGTTTTGAACACCTTTCCTTGAAGCACCTTTATGTGGAAATGTCAGAAAGACATCCCTTACGTTGATTAATTTGGGCTCATTTTGTCCTAATCTACTTTAGGGATGCAGTGCCTGCTGTCGCCAAGGATGTGCTGAGAGAAGCGGTGCATCCAGGCTCCGAGGAGCCTATAATTAAAGCTTTAGATAAAAATATAATAACACAAACAAATCCCTGTTATTGGTTCCTCTTTCCAGTGAGGGTGAGAGCCTAAAAGGTATTGCTAGCCATAAATTTAAGTCATCCCCCTGCCTTCTTGGTACCACTTCATCATTGCCATGCAAACCTGGGGCTAGGAGGAGCAGAGGCTGAGCCTGCAGATGAGGCACGGGCAGAAGGAGCAGGTTGAGCCAAAAAGCACGGGAGCGACGTCGGCCACCAATGACAAGCAAAGCCCGCTAGGAAGAAGATGCGTTTTCCAAAACCATGAGGAAAACTGCGGCTCGTCGCCTCTGGAGAGCCAGCATGGACGATGGGAGAGAGGGATCCTGAGCCAGGTGAAGGCAGCAATGGGCTGCAGCCCAACAGGCCCAACTGTGGCCAGCAAAGGTCAACCACTGCTTTTTTTGCTAGCCATCTGCTCAATATCCTCTGCAAGAAGACGTTGCTGAGCGCTCGCCTGTATTTTTCATGACACAAATGTGCGCTGCACAAAGCCCTCCCAACAGGTCACAGCTAAGCATCTTGCTTAGCTATGTCTCAGCAGTAACGTTCACTATAAAAGCCCTTTTGCAGCTCCTGAAGCACTCGAACCCAATGCATGTTCCCAAACACATTCTCTGTTTGCTTGGGCCTGGCTTTTAGCTCAGCTGCACTCAAACACCCTTGGATTCTGCTGGCCAAAGACGTGTTGCTAAAAGCAAATTCATCCCTCCTTTCCACATCCCTATGCATGTGAATTTTGGGAGTTGGAGAAAAGATGAGGCTTCAAGCACAAAGGTGCACCAAGGCACCTTCATGTTCAGTGGCATGAGCTCCGTGGAACCTGTGCCCATGTCTACCAGCACCTCTGAAAATCCGGAAAATATCTGGTACAACCAAACTGGAGTAACTACAGCCCCATGCAGAGAGGTCTCCACCAACATCCAGCCAAAGATTAAGGAACAGCACAAAATACAGCTCCCAGGCCAGCTCTGAAACTCAAAATTAGAAGCAAATCCTGGTTCAGGTGACATCAGGGCTCAGTTCTAGGTATCCCGGGGCTGCAGTGCCCCAAGGGAAGGATTTACAGACTGTGATTACCAGGAGAAAGGAAACCATCAGTAAGCAACAGCAAGAAAATAAATCCATCAGCCCCTGTACTTGTGGCCTGTCTGCAAAATATCCCTCCCAAAATCTGATATGGCAACCAGCCAGGACGAACAAGTGGAAAATCCCATGTTTTGTGATCGCCCTCTGACTACACCCATGCGTACAGGACTCGGAGAGCTGAGTTGATCTGCTTGGCGCGCACATAAAAGCAAGCATCGCTTGAATGACAGTATGCAGCAGAAATTGTACCTTGGCCTTCCCTTCGTTAGACGAAAATCGATGTCCTCGGGGAAAAAAAAAAAAAAAGAAATAGCTCAAAAAAAAGCAACGAGCACATTTGTGTTGTAACAAAATGTTTCATTTCCCCTGACCTAGAAGTACCAAAACGTCATTTCTTTCTGCTTTTGTTCGCTTGTGGTTTTTTTTTTTTTTAGGAAGCAAGAAACACTAATAAAAAACATGCATTGCTGTGTCTTTGGTCAAACCTTAATCTTTCTCCTTGCTCCCTGTTTTGGTCAGGGAGAACAAAACCATGTGTATTCCTCTGGTTTTCCCTACTTCTGCCTTCCTAGGCGGACAGGTTACCTGAGCTACCAGGTCACCAGTTTTGCCTGGACTCCAAACTATAACCCTAGACAAGAACCCATTCCTAAGTGTCCTAACACAGCCAAAAAATTGCTGCCTTCTGTTAACCCTAGTAAATAACTCTCGTCCTGAACATTAATGGCATTGAAGTAGCCTTCAATACCGCAACAAATCAGCAACACTGATTTCAGTTTGTATATTCCAGGCTGTTCAGTGCATGGCTTAGCATTATTTACTCCATTTTATTCCCTGGAAAAGAAAATACACACAGTGCAGGTTTGTATCGAGCCAAAGCTCCATTCTTCCTTGTACCCTCCTTTACAGGCACTCAGTAGTACCATTTACTACATTATAGGCAGCTTTTTTAAGTATTTAAAGCGCTGGTTTTCAGCAGGCTCTCTTGCGATTCATGCAAATGATTAATGCAATCATGAAAAGCCAAATAAGACTCACTTGCTGGAGGACAACAGGTATTTTCAGCTTTTTCCTGGCACCCTCCAGCTGACGCACTGACGCTAAGATTTATCGAGCTGTGTTCGCATAATAGCCAACAGGATTCAGTTAATAAACTTCAATAAACCTCCCTATTAAATTTCTCTCCAATAGGTTTGTTGTCACTCGCAGCATCTAATCTATTCATTGAGGAGCTATTAATACTGACTGCAGCAAAATGGGATTTCAGCAAATGAGATTGTTAAGCTCTGGGCCATCTTCCTCAAAATGAAGCATCCCCCTGCTTTTATGCAGAGACAGGGGAGGAAAAGCGATTTTTCCCCCTCCTTTTACAATCTTTCCTGTGCAATTATTTACGGCAGCAAGGTGGATTATAATCTGCAGGCCCCATTGCTCTGCCGGTGGTCCGGACGGTGGAGGCTTCTCCATGTGAGGCTTTCTGGCTCCGCTCCTGTTGTTTGCACCCCGCGTACAGCGACTCGCTCAAATTAACGCCTTGCCCTTCTGACAGTGCGATGTGCAGAGCCCGACTCCCAAACGCGCCTGGGACCTACGTCGCAAGAGCCCTCATTTCCCATCTTGGGAACACGAGGATGGGTTTTCAGGAGAGCTCGGCCCAGCAGGATGCCGTAAACTTGCAAAATGTGGCCGTTAACCAGCAGGGCGAGCGGTGACCCCCCGGCCGAGCAGTCGTGCTCCCTTCCTCCTTCGCGGTCGTTGTATTAAGACTGCTCTGCAGCAACACTCTGCTGGATCTAATACTCCCCAAAGCCCGCTCTGATTTCAGAAATGGCCTTGCCCTCCGTTTTTCTCTTTAAATCCGATCCATCTAATGACTGAACTTCCAATTATATGGCTGTCAATCCGCAAATCAAAGCCAGTTCATAATATCTCCCCGAGGAAGAATGCCACGTCACTCACCGAAATCGCTGCAACAA